AAATTTCTGGGAATTTGGAAATTTTACGTGATTCACAGAAATTGAACGTTGCAATTTCTGGGATTTTTCACAGAACTCGAACGGTTCGAGTTCTGGGATTTTGGAAATTCACGTGATTTTACTGAAACTTCACAGAAATTTTGGAAATCGAAGTGATTTGGGATGAAAATTGAAAATTTTGAAAATCGCTCCTTCTTATATATAAAACGCTAGACGTGTCTGTTGGTCCTAGTGTCCGGCTGTCCGGTTTTGGGTTTCAAATAAGAATTAGGCCGCCGCCAAAACTGAACCCGCGGCCCTTCGGACAACGGCTGCCCATGCACCCAGTTGTGCCAAATTTTTTTATATCTTTCGAAAGAACTGGGATAATTGAGCTCAAAGTGCTAGTTCATGGTGGGCTTTAGTTAGGGCAAATACGCTGAAAATTGAAACAGAACTATCAAAAAGTGATCTATAAAAAACTTCACTTTTTGCAATTTTTCATGTGAAAAACTCTAAAATTCATGTGAAACGGTATTCCCCCGATCGAAACCCCTCTAATCGCATCAAAACTTCACAGTTCACCTCAATTTTTGTCTGAAACTTTGCTGAAATTCTTTGAAAACCGTTTACTGCTAACCTCCGTGCACATATTGCATCATATACGCTAAAAATTTGCATAATTTTTATCCTCGTCGGGGGATTCCCCGTTTGTACGCAAAATGACCTGTGAAAAGTATAAAAAGTTCGAGAGACCGAGTTTTGACCAGTGTTGCTTTGTTCTAGTTTTGTACATCTCAATTTCAGCAAAACTATGGACACTCCAAAACCATCAACGTCTTCTGGAGCAAATACCACTCGTCGATTCGAAATGCTGTGCATTATGATGCTCACCTTTGGGCAGTTATGCATCATGACGGGATACGATTCACAGTCGTTCATTTTGGAATCGGTGATACATTCGATTCATGAGAAGGAACCCGAGAGGATTAGTCCATATGCCGGGTACTATGGGTGAGTAAATTTCGTTTTGATAAATGTTAAATAGCTAACAATTTTGAACTTCGTCTGATAAAAAAAAAAAAAAAGTATGAAAAACGGGCAAAAAAATCCAGCCAGAAGATGAAGTGGACGGACACCGGACGGACATCGGACGGATATTAGACGGATGATGGACTGAAGATCTGAACATTGGTGGAACATGAAAAACGTTGTCCTAATTCTTGCCCTATTGAGCCAATTAGGAAATTGAACTTGTGGGAAAATTAATAGGGCTACCGCCCCGCTATCCACTGAGCTTGTTTATTTCAAAAACGGATTGTTCTCAAAATTCCAGCCAAGCCGTCTGCTACCTGGCCTATGTCACCGCTTGTTTCTTCTCACCGTCCTTCCTCTATGCAACCAGTGCCAAAACTACCCTTCTGATCTCTTCAATCTGCTTCACATCGTTCCCATTGGGCTTCTTGTTTACCAACTCGTACTACTACTATTTTTCATCAGCTTTAAATGGAATTGGATTTGCTTGTGAGTTATGGTAAAAATAGGAAGGATCCTTAATTGGCAAATAATTCGGATAGAAATACTTTGAGATCATTGGGGTATACCGCTGAATCACATTGTTTTCCTGAGTCGTTGAACCCCTCTGAATTATGGATTTGCCTCTTTAATTCAAGTAACTTTTTAGTTTACTACACTGGTAACGGTGGATACATCACTTCCCACTCAACTCGTAAAACCATCGAGTCCAACGTCTCTCTTTCTTGGTGTCTAGGATGCTGTTGTATGATCGTTGGGTCAATCATAATGGCGATAATCACAGCAGTAACCCAGGCGCCAGAAATTCTGGAAACAGCAGCTAAGATCACAATCGGTGGTCATGGAATAGAAAGAAGATTTGGGGATAGTGAAATGTAACTTGTTTCAGATTTCAAGTACCAAGTTTTGACACTTTCAGCTACCTCCTATTCTCTGTCTTCGCCGCCATCTCCTCACTAGCCATTTTCATTTTCATGCTCCTGCCATCCCAAGATGTCGCGAATTGCATAGAATCTAGTGATAAGCAAGTTAGCTTTACAGATGGGATGAGTGAGTATTTTCTTTACAGCTTTGTTCTTACAAAGCGCGAGGCTTCATGAATCTCAATTTCAGAACTCATGGCCGATACGCTGGTCTCCTCAAAAATGTTCAAATTGGCGCCAACATTCCTGCTCACAGGAATTCATACGTCATTCTGGTTGTCCGTTTTCCCGACAACTTTGACTTTCAACATGCACAATTCGAAATTGATCTATCTTCCCGCTATTTATGGCTTTGGAATTGGAATTGGAGAGACTATAAGTGAGCCTTTAAAGATTACAAGCTTTGGAGAAACTTATTTCAGTGGGCTGTATCATCTCGACTCTGAGCAAACGAATCACGGATTTTGGCTTGAAGCCAACTATGCTAATTGGTTGCGTTCTCACCACAGTATTTTGTACAGTAGCCCTTCTATCAACTCCATACAATGCCACGACAACACCGAGCCATGAAGACCCATTATTGTTTCAGCCGAGGTAAGACGGGACATTAAGAACTTGACAAAAGAATTCATTTCAGTCGGGTTACTGTATTCCTTGTAGCTGTAATTGGCGGGATGTCAGATTGTTGTTTGTGCAGTGTCCGATCAGTGATCTGTGCACTGGCTATGCCCAAACGCAGAGCTCAAGCGTTTTCAGTGTCTAAAATCTATCAGGTAGGCTTACTATCTCAAAAATTCCAAATTCCACATTTTCAGTCCCTTGGATCTTGTGTCATCTTCTTTATCTCTCCATTCCTAAACCTCTATCATTACGTGTTTGGAATTCCAGTGCTATGTTTTTTCGCTTGCATTTTCTTCTTTCGCCAAGCTGGCCAGACTCAAGTTATGGAACGGAAACTGACGCAAGAGCTCGAGGAATCTGAGAAACGGTGGATCGCTAAAGAACTGGAAGCTATGCAACAAGCCTAACATTCTAATCATTTTCTAGAATATTTTAATTGTTGTGCATTTTTTTGTTTATAATAAAAATGTTTAACTTGCATTCTTATTTTTAGGTAAAGAAACTATGGGTCTATCTAGGAAGAGGGGTTCCAAAAAGATTCCATCAATCATGAGAGTGGTTGCCACATGATAACCGTGGTCCCATACCTTCAACCGCGGTCCTATCCACCCTTTTACGTCCCATCGCCAAATAAGAAATCTAGAAGAAATTTAAATTTCTAAAACAACATTTAAGGGATCGGACTACAATGAAAAGTTGGACCGTGGCCAAGTGGGTTGGGACATGGTAGAAAAAATGCTACCGTGATAGGAAGGATAAGACCATTTCAAAGTTGATAGGGTCATGGTCGGGGTAATGGGACCGAGAAACCTTTTTCGGAGCACTCTCCTGCGTTAGACCTAAAACGACCATAAGTTATTTGCTCTAAAAATTAGATTTTCAAAAAACAAGTCATATAAATTGTTTCGTTGAACACGTGTTTCAGTAGGTGCTGACCAAAAAATCACAAAATACGGACAGTTTATGTAAATTGAACCAGGAAACAAAAAAAAACAAAATCTTTTGAGTTTTGTAGGCTAAAAATGAACTCTGGAAAATGAATGAAAATCAGATAATGAGCAAAGGAAGACATCGCATGAAAACAATAATTGACAAAATACAAGGTTAAGGTAGGTTAAAAAATCTTAAATTTGGAAAAAAAAGTCAGTATGGAATTTTGAAATTTGAACATTCTTCTGAAGTTGTCTTTTTCCCACCAGAAATAGACTGTACAGAGAAAAAGTTATGTATTTTCACACATTCCCTTTTCTCCTGTGGCTACAGTACCCTTCTAATAGAAGCCATCGGTTGACTAGCCATCGTAGCTCAGCCGGTAGCAGCGCAGAACGTCCAATATTTTCCCACAGGTTCAACTCCTCAAGAGCCTTCTTTCTTCATGCTCCCCCCCTAGGTTCAACTCCTAAAAACCTATAATTCCAGACCCTGATCTACATCACATTTGCTGCTGTCCCATTTTCCATGCTCCATCTCTCCATCCTATTCCACATCAGAACCTACGAGTTCACATATTTCATAGATTTTGTTTTTGAAAATCATCCAGCCGCTTGTATCGTATCAAAGTCATTCTTCCTTTTTATCTATTGTCTGCCCAACTGTACAGATGTACAGATAAGATTTTTTTTAAATAATCATCTTTTTTTGAACACTTTTTTCATTTTTCAGACTATCAGATTAGTTCAAACCTAACACAGATTCCATTACAAATACTGTGAAATCCAAATAGAATGACCCTTTAATTTTAATCTTTGAGACACTTTATCTTGGTTTCTGGGAGAGGTATCAAAAAGTTGTCAATTGATAAACTTTTTATCATAATATCACAAACATTTTATTAGCTCACAGATTTCTTATATGTATCTTTAGCATACGAATCAAGAACTCAAAGTTGACGGTGTGGGAGGCACTCTATTAGAGGTTTTACGGTGCTTGTAAACTCCTAAAAATGTCATCGAACCATCTGGAAAAGATGACAATGAAAGTGCACAAAACATTTGATAAAAATTACGCAACCCGTCGAATTTTCCGGATAGTTTGAACTCGCCGAACCGATTATGCAAAACGCGCTCGCACTTACTATAAATGTACCCCTGGAACCGCTTGTCACCGTTTTCTCTTTTTTCTCTATATTCAGAATCCTACATTCAAAATGAATCAACGAAGATTTGAACTTTTGTGCGCCGCACTATTGGGATTTGGTCAGCTGTGCATCATGACTGGATTCGATTCAGAATCGTTCATTCTGGAATCAGTGATTCATTCGATTCACGAAAGAGAGCCAGCGAGAATCTCGCAGTATGCAGGATACTATGGGTGAGTGGAGGGAAGCATTGATCCTAAAATTCGTTGAAAAATGCAATTTTTAGCCAAGCCGTGATCTATGCATTCTACATGATTGCTTGCATGTTTTCCCCATCCATTCTAGCCATTAGCACTCCAAAAATCAACTTGGTGCTCTCTGCGATTTTTTTCACAGCCTTCCCAATCGGATTCCTATTCACCAACTCCTACTATTATTTCTTTTCTTGTGCTTTACTAGGAGTTGGTTTTGCTCGTGAGTTTGGAATGAGGCTTCCATCTTGGTCGGTCGGCTGGGTCGGCGATCGGCCGGTCGGCAAAATTTCCCGACCGAAGGCTTTAGTTTGGAAGTTTTAAAAAATAAGATTATTTTGATCTTTCAGTGTTTTACCAAGGGCAAGGTGGATACCTGACATCGCATTCCACTAGAGAAACCATTGAGTCCAATGTGTCGTTTTCTTGGTCCGTGGCTTGTTGTTGTATGATTTTGGGCTCCGGGATCTTGGCCATTATCACTAAAGTGAGCTCAACAGAAATCGAGCATTTGCCAGAGGCTCTGAATATCACCAAAGAAGCTCATAAGATGGAGAGGAGGTTCAGCGATATGGAAATGTTAGTGCGGTTTTTTTTCGATGTCCAAATCCAAGTTAAATTTCAGAAGCTTTCTGTTCACGGCATTCACTGGATGTTCTGTTTTGGGAATCATCACATTCTTCCTGATGCCATCTAAAGATGTCGAGAACTGTATTGAGAGTACCTCGGAGAAAAAAGAAACCTTCACCGGAGCATTTAGTGAGTCATAAAATAAGCAAGTGCGCTCCACAGATAAAAATTTCAGAGCTCACTTGCTCCACACTGGTCTCCTGGAAAATGGTACAACTCATGCCTCTATTCTGCCTTGTTGGCCTCAACACATCTTTCTGGCTTTCGGTATTCCCAACTGCTATGAGCTTTACCACGCATAACTCTCATTTGATCTACCTCCCTGCTGTGTATAGTTGTGCAGTTGGTTCCGGAGAAGTTGTTAGTAAGTAAATGTGCTCTATCGATCATATAAAACTAGAGTCTTGTTTCAGTGGGCATCCTAATCTCATTCCTCAGTAAACGCATCAAAAATTTCGGACAAAAGCCAACAATGACGATTGGCGCCATTTTTACTTCGATCTACTGTGTTTTGATCCATCTTTCAACCGCGATGGACGCCCCGATGAGACCAAGTCATGCCGAGCCTATTCTCTTTCATCATTCGTATGTTTCTAGAGGCCAAGTGCTTCAAAAAACTCTTTTGGGAGCTGAATCTCAATTTTCAGTTATCTCCTCGCCTTCACAATCGGTTTTATTTGCGGTATTGGTGACTGCTGTATCAATAGTGTGAGATCTGTGATTTGTGCATTAGCTTGGCCAAAACGAAGACCACAGGCGTTTTCGGTCTCCAAGGTTTTCCAGGTATGATATTTTAGGAAAACAACCAATTTCGAGTATTCGACGCAATTTTCAGTTGCTGTAGTTGTTTTTTCGTGTAAAGCCGTACAAAAAGTACAAAATCTCAGTAGCCCGTTCAACGTTTTACAAATTGTGTATTTATAAAGCAAACTTAAAAAAATAAGACACGGTAAAATACATTTATTTAAAAATATAACCTGATTATTGGGGGAAAAATAAACGTGGAATGAAAAAGTACAGAAAATTGAGATATGAAATTCTGGACTTTTGAAGGAGAAGAGAACGTGGAAATCTAATGAAAAGTAAAAAGTACAGAAAATCCTCGATGAAAATTCTGGACTTTCCAAAAAAGGAATAAACGTGAGAAAAAACGTGAAACTGAAAATTTTTCGGGATGGGGATACAGTTAATGAGTGTGAATAGTTTCTGGACTTTAAAAAATGAGTTGGATTGTTCGCCAAAAGTGTCTACAAATCTCAAGGAATTTCGCTTTTCGCGCATTGGTTAGTTGCCCAATCTGCCGGTTCAGTTTGTCAATTTTCTTTATTTTTATTATAAAGGAGAATGAGCTTCGACCTGAGTAATTTTATCAGGAAACCAG